TAAAAATAAAATAAATAAATTGGCAGGTTGAAATGAAACTCCTTCAAATAACTACAATAAAAGATTCCTAGTGAAGAGTTACAGTGTAGCTCAGTGGTAGACTGTTTAGAAGCCTAAAGCCTTAGTTCAGTTCTATCAAAAGAGGGGGGGAAAGACTGCTTGAAAATGTCTAGCATAAAATTTCTAATGAATTCTGAAGGTGTTCATGATATTACAGAAAACATTATACAGTTAGCTCACCCTCGGTTAAGAACTTAGGAGAGCAAATTGCTTTATGCCTTAAAAAGAAAAACTCTACTGATAGCCACAAAGACAGGTTAAAAGCCAAAGGTTTTCCCAGGGCAAGGGGCCATGGACAGAGCAATGCCAAGGACAGACAAAGCAGTCCTCAAGGATAAGAAGTCACCTTGCCATGTCAGTGTAAGGGGAGAGAGAGGTGCATGACTCACCATAAACCAAGGCTGCCAGGTGTGGTGACATACTATAATCCTGGCTACTCAGGAGGTAGAGATCAAGAGGACCAAGGTTTGTGGCCAACATAGACAAAAAGTCAGCAACTCCTACATCTTAACAAATAAGCTGGGCTTGGTGGTTCATACCTATAACCCCAGCTAGGCAAGAGGCCATAGGAAAGAAGATCACTGTCCAAGATCAGCCTGAGCAAAAATGCAAGACTTTATTGAAAACAAAAACAAAAGCAGATAAAGGAAAAATGGGTTGGGGTATGGCTCAAGTGGTACAGTAAATACAACCGAAAAAAAAGGAAAGGGATATTTGTTTGTATATTTAGTAGAACAGTACAAAATAATTTGCAGCATCTCTGTGGCTGTGGGAAGCCCCTCTCCAAAGAGAACAGCTCCTTCCCCAGAGATAACAACCTCTCCCCAGGAGAGCAGCATGCTTACCCTTGAAGATGAGGAATGAGTTGGCCAATGGTGATCTCTTGTGCCACCTTCTGGTAAAGGTCATGGCTATTGAGCACCATAGACTCCAAAATGGCCAAGGACCGCTGCAGGATTGAGATGTCCATGCCGACTTGTTCACAAAACTTGCTATCTGAAAACCCAAGAAGTACATCATTGATGGCTCATAGAGTCAACAGGGAAAGGAGGAAAAAAATTAAGCACATCAGGAACTCAGCGAGGATATCTGATTCTAAGGATGGAGCGTAATTCAAAGTAGCAAGAAATACACCCAGTCACCATTGAGATTGGTGAAATCCTACCAAACACAAAGAAACCTCTCTTATAATCACTGATAACTGGACATTTCTTTACTGGGTATCTTCAAAGAATTATTCAGCCTGGTTTCCCCCAGACTATTGTGTTCAGAGTTTCAGCTTTCCAAGGCAGACAATTTTATCATGTACATTACACGGACTGGCGCATTTCTCTGAGGGGATAAATTCAGTGTAAA